CGCTTCCAACTGGAAAACCGCCTATGACAACCTCAGAAGGGTCAGAGCACGCGCAGTGAGCCAAAAGGTGTGCTATTGTTGTGGTTCAAACCAACATCACCTGGCTATTTGTCCCAACACTGAGAAGAAGGACGAGTTGATGAACTCATTCTCTTACATGGAGGACACTATGCGCAGGTGCTTCACCGAGGACGACAAGGCAATCATCCGACGTGATGTTGAAAGCCGAAAGAGGAAAGCAAAGTCATCCAAAGACGTCGAAGACGAGGACTACATGGATGTGGATGATGAAGATATTGAACTTCCCGAAGAAGAGCCGGAACTAGGAGGTAAGGTACCACCTCACTCTCCGAGAGCCAAAGGTAGACCACACTCGTCAGACTCTGCAAAAGAGGAATACGCGAAAGCGGTCGAGGCAACCAAGAAGGCCTTTGGGAACGCCAGTTTCGTCACCAGATTCAAAGAGCCCGTCGACCTCTTTGACATTGCCGATGACAAAGAAGGAGGAGAGTACAGGGTCGCAAATCACAGGGTTGATAGATCAGGTCCTAATGGAAAGTGGGAACTTGATGCACTTATTCAGGAGGCTGCAGCACTCGGAATAAAGATGCCCAAAGTGAAGGACCTTGCTCCTGACCCACAACAAGTTCAAAAGGTTGGATATCGGCAGATTGAGGTGACTTGCGATAGAGGAAGCATCGAGATAATTCCACAGTATGGAGTTACATTCTATGTGGAGTACTGGAATGGACCGAAGAGAGATGCAACTTTCACGGATCCACCAAAGATGAACCCAGCAACTCGCATCGACAAGTTCAGCGAGGAGAGTCAGCGGGTCAACGAGATTAGCCATAGACTCAATAGACTACTCAGGCATGGAGTGGGAAAGCATAATGGGATTCAATCGCACCGCGGTCGAAAACCTCATGTGTCCCCGAAGTGCAATGAGGGTGGATGGGTGAACATCGATGAGATCCTGGAATATGACCATGTCTTCAACGATGGTGTCGATATCAGTACTATCTCAGGTGATCGGCATCGTCAAGATGTCAAGACAGAGCGATACCAGTATTTACGCAAGGCGATGTGGCATGCAAAGAAGTTGCAGAACAGAGTACGCTATCAGATTGCCGCCATTCGCATCTCAAAGGAGGATGTCTCACTCGAAGAGGAAAGGCAATACTGGGCAAACCTCATGTTTTACAGCACAGACGCACCGTCATTTCTGAAGCATGAACGTTGGATCGTTCCTTGTGCAATTCGAGCTGTTGCCTCTCACAATTCTGGAAGAGAGACTGTTCTTGAAGAGGATGTGTCAATATATCCTGTGTGGACTTCACATCTCATTCCAGAGAATGTGGCAATGCAGCTTGGAGGAAGCTTTCACATGACATCGCTTTCCAATATTGAGTCAATCATGAAACTAGGAATTGTCCCTGGTGGAACGGAGGGATATAGAGGTAGTGTTTTCTTCAACCACTTTGCGCCGTGGGATGATCGATCATCAAAGATTCTGAGATCAAGATGGCCAAGAGTGGGAATGCCCGTTTGCCTTTATGTTCCAATCATGACTTTGAGGAAGCTTGGGGGAAGAATTTCAGAGAATTCCTACACTGTTGTTTTTAGAGAAGTTCCATGGAGATGTGTACGAGGTGCTTGGTATTGGGACGACCACGTTCAGGCATGGAGGAGACTCCTGCTGGGAAGCACTGGAGAGCAAGTTGTTCTAGCGGCACGTCATGGACTTTGGGTTGCTCAGAAGCATACCATCCTCGAGAGAGCCGACGAAGTCACGAAGTCAGCCTCGGCGACAGATGACAACGTCCAAAAGCTCGTGTCCCTTATCGATGAAGTACAATTCGATGGCAATGGAGAGCTGATCGAGGATTCCATCAGTGAGGAAACTTGGGACGAAATCATCTCCAGAACATGTGAAGGGTATCGCAACGTGGATGGCAATATTTTGTGTCCATCATGTATGCATTTGACTTCTTCATCTTTGTCCGTGTGTCTATCTTGTCAAGGCAGGCTACTCTCGTGTGGTATTCGCAACACTGTCATTTCCGATTCACCCGTTGATCTTGTGAGTGACGATGAAGAGGAAAAGAAGGAAAAGAAGGAGCCTGAAGATGATGATCAAGATATATTGGACCAGGCCACTATGGACGAGATCAGAAAGGCTTGGGAAGAAGACATCGCTCAAACTGAAGCAGCTGACGACGACGAGGACATGGACAATCTAGATCCTTCCAAACCGTCTGATGGTGCAGAAAACTTCAAGAGTGATAATGTCGAGACCCCATCTCTCAATGAGGACGAGATCGACTACGGTCGTGATTCTGATCTAGAAGATGAAGACGAACGAAACGTGATCATCGAGATCCAGAGGAGCACACAACAATATGAGGGGAAGAAACGTCAAGATGGTGAACCCGAGGATGAAGACGTCACCGACGACTTACATCCGGAGGCGAATCGACCGACAGATCGTGATGAACCGGGATACTATGCACAGCATGGAGCGACCGAGTTCAATCCCGAAGAAGGAAGAGACAACGAAGATCTCCCCATCTATTGTCGAGTACCGGAACCTCGAATCTATGCGCATCAAGAGAGAGCCTACTGTCAGGACGTCTCCATGAATGCATCGGGTTTGATGGATAGGTATGTGGTCAAATGTGTGCTGAACATGATCTCCCTGATGTACAAGAGCTACTATTGCACCAGCCTTACCGACTTCAAAGCAAATTGGAAAAGGAAGCGACTGGATGTGATAAGCAAGTTCGGTACAGGGGATTCCACTGAAATCGATGACGATGGGAGACCATTGGATCCAACAGATGACATGATGTTAATCTTTGCCAACGACAACAATATTACGACTGAGGAGGCCTGGCACCGATTCAGAGGAGAACAATTCATTTGCAAGGTAGCACTCGTGATCCTATCATTTGGTCATACTCCGCAATCCTTCAAGCAGGAATATGGCAACTTCGAACACTCCACCAACTTGACTGATGCCCAGCTTGAGGAGTTGAAAGCGAAGAAAGCCAGCGCAATGACTGAATTGGTACAGAAGTGCATCCATGCGATTTATGGGTGTCGGACATATTCTTACTTTAGAACCGACGTTACATCACCCTACCACAAGGTGATCGATCCTCTGGACATCATGTACTCGAGAATGAAGAGCAAGTGGGAGAAGTCTATTCTGTTGATCATTGATCAACATGAGATCAGGTTGCCCCCACAAGCTCAGGAAGTCATAGAGTCAATGGCCAGAAACCCCAACGTTGGACATACAGAGAGATGGATGAGCGTGGTAGAACATAAGCATGTTCAAGCTCTTACCAATCGTCTAGGCTTTGGAGATAGGGCCAAGGAGATTCAGGGCAAGAAGAAGCAGGCAGCCAAGGCAACAGCTAAGTCAACATCAACGACTAAGTCTGAAGCGAAAGCAGCATCTTCATCAAGAGCTGAGGCAAAGCCAGCATCTACACCCAGAACCGAGGCCAAGCCGTCGTCAGCACCAAGTGAGGAGCCAAAACCTTCAACAGCACCTAAGAGTTTCGGGCCCTCATCAGCAGAGGAGAACAAGGCGAAGGCTGCTCCAAAAGCCAGACCACATGATAAATCACCATCCAGTGCTACCGATGTGTTTGAGCAAGCTTTGCAGAAAGATCTTGCCGCCAACGCACATGCAGCAGAAGGTACAACTTCTTCATCATCCCGAGGACATTCCAAAGGAGGAGGCCAATCTGGAACATCTTGGAGGCCGGCGCTAACGCAAGAATGTCGCGAAGTACCTCAACCTTCTGAAAAGGGGAAGGGAAAGAGCAAGTCCAAGGGAAAGTCCAAGAAGGGAGAAGATGATCGGTGGGATGCTCAGGGCAGCTGGGATCATCGTGGATGGAGAGGTTATCACCAGTGGTGATTTCTTTGAACGACTATGAGGATACCATGCAAACCAGGGAGGAAATCATTCACCGGATGTTTATCTGATCTGAAACGCTGTAAGTGTATCGTTGCAAATTCGGATTGACGATTTGATACCATGAGCATAATGGAAGGCAGACAGTCACCGACTGTCTCTCCGACTTGCCGTTCTGTAAGTGTATCCAAATCAAAAAAACCTACATCTTTTGAGAAGTGTGAAGTCAGTTGCCGATGTGACATCTACGTGGAAGTCACCAGTTCGGATCTACATCAAAGCGATGCTCTTTTGAGTGGATACTGAGCGAGGCCTCGTGACTGTCTCACTTGTTCAATTCGATTTTCATAGGTTCTGAGCCATAGTTGCACACTTTATATGTAAAAGTCCGCTTTAGTCCAGCATGTTTCGTAGTATGAGCCTCATATGAGTCTCGCGGCAAATCATACAATTTCTTTGTAGCACTTACATCCCTAAATTTTCGTGTGTGATCGGAACATATTGTTGCCGTTCACATGGGGGGTGCGAATGGAAGTGCAGCGACACGTACAGTGCAACTTGTACATATATATGTACCATATGTACTTTGGCTCAAGGATCAAGCGACTAGAGAAGGTGCGGTTTCCGTTCCGACGCTACGCCGCTTATGGACCGTCAGTGATAGCTTCAAACTTCGCTGATTAAGATCCACTCGCAGTTTCTAATAGCTTCTTGTTACTACAAGTAAGGCACTTGTTACTAGAAGCGTTGCACTTGTTACTAATAGCTTCTTGTTACTACAAGTAAGGCACTTGTTACTAGAAGCGAGGCACTTGTTTCTAATAGCTTCTTGTTACTACTAGCGTGGCACTTGTTACTAGTAGCGTTGCACTTGTTACTAATAGCTTCTTGTTACTACAAGTAAGGCACTTGTTACTACTAGCTTGTTGTTTCTGAATCTGTTGCGCCGTCTCTTGAGAACAAAACTGAAGTTCACCCGAAACTCTTTCGCTGAATGGGTGCGAATGAACAGTTTTGCACTTTTTCGCACCCGGTTCTCAGGACTCCGAACCGGTTCGGTGTTGTTTTGATGACGCTCCGCTCCCAGGTATCAGTCCCCATTGAGCACCTTCCTTTCTATTATCAAAAATACTACAAAAAGGCGCGAAGTCTGAGTACTTCCTGCCTTTCTCCTCTGTGAGTCGGAAGTTCTTAGGCCTTGAACCCAAAAGCTTTCGGCGTGGAGAATTGCGAGGCAAGATTGACGTTGAAAACATTGAATTTGTAGGACGTCCGTCCTCCCTTTCAAAGCTCGAAGGAGCTGGTGGACCTTGTGCGGGACACAATACTCATCACAGGCAAAAGCAAGGCCTGGTGGACTCCAAAAAAGCCGAGTGCAATGTGCCGTCGGTCGAGGTGGTCGAAGCCCAACTCCCAGACGACCTTGAGTCCACGCCGCTTGGAAAAAGGTTGGTCTGCAAGGCCGTTTGAAAGAGAGAGAAAAGACGGATGAGTGTTGTAATCGGAGAGAAGACTGTTGAGAGAAGTTGAGTCTTCCGAACCGTTCGAGATATGTTGTTTTCTTGCGCATGAAAACAAAAAACTCCTTTTTACCTCCAAAAATCGAGTTGCGACAGATTTTGCAAGGAATCTCTTTGTGATGCTGACGGAGGAGACGGAAAAGGATCACGCATACATCGGTTCGAGGCTCCCAGGTTGGCCATTCCTTTTCTCAATCTGGGAGCTTCGGACGAGTCCGAGATCTTGCAAGACAGTGGGGTCACGACTTTGGCATTCGAACAAATGCCACATTTCGCTAGGGTAGCCAAAGTCGTAGCAGCCTGCAGCTACTTAAGTAAGGGCTAGGTATAAGCTTCTACTTAGGTAGGGGTCACTAGATTTTTAAGGAAAAAAGGAGCCACGAGTCCAGTAGCAAGTAGCTTCGTTGCTAGTGGTACTTGTACCGACTTACCGCCCACCCACCCATCCACCAAATCAGTGCGAGCGCTTCAAGGAAGCTCCTTGCTCAATCCTGCGGGAGCTTCCTAGCGTGACTCTTGGAAAGCGGGACTGCAAGGAGAGCCGAAGGGACCGCAATCGGCGCATTGACATGGGAGACGATTCGGCCAAGCTGAAGATTCAAACCGGCCAGGCCGAATCCGTCCGCATCGCTACGAACGGAACAAAGGGCATCGCTACTAGGAGCAAGGGCGCTACTAGGGGCTCCTGGCCTTACTAGGAG